AAGAAACAGATCTGGAAATACCACTGGATTTCCCCGGTATGTTTGCTGACTGTTGAGTACAGAGGGGACATAAACTCTGCTGCTCTCATCCAAGCCGGTTCAGTTCCGTAACCACAAATGGGAACGGCGGCGGGCTGCTCTTGGCTATGTGTAAAGGCAGAGGAAGGAGACACACTGGTGGTGAAAATGGCGCACCGTGTGGGAGAAGGGTTCATGTACTAGACTCCACAAGAAGCAAATGCTAGTTTAACAGACGAATTGAGAACAAATGAATTCTAATAGGAATTTCGGAAGTGGGGATATTTTCCCTCGTCTGGAAAATTCTCTAACAAACGTGTCTTTGTGCAAGTGACCCCCTTAAATAAAGTCACATTTGAACTCCAAAACCAAACGAACATGCTGTATAAAAAGATGTCTGAGGTCGAATCTTGACAGGGTTAAAATAGCCTATTTTGGGCCCTCCTCGCCATTCAACTGTGGCTTCCAACTTGATATTCTCATCTTGATTCCTATGAGAATCTGAGGCTTATTTGACGCATGGAGTACTTGCTTATTACAGCTACACTCATAGGAACTAAACGTTGGGATGCAATCCTTTCTTCTTGCCTTTGTTGGGCAACTTTTGGTAAAAACTGTCCTCTCTAGTGATACTTCAAACCTTTACTCAGGAAACCACATTGGACATTCAGAAACCTGTGTATGAGTCATGTGATGGAGTTACCTTCATAACTTTTTCCAGAGGGATTAGGCAAAAAATGTAGAGTGGGGAGAAGCGGAAAGCGGATTCTACTTGGAAATGTAAACATTTCATAAGAACTAGACTGTAAAATCAAGTGTAGTTGCAAGATGATGCCACGGTGGGGCGCCAAAGTTCTACTCGGCTAAAGCCTGCACTCTTCTTGGGGTGAGAGCAGATGCACTGGGGGAGGGGGGGCATAGAGGGTGGGGCTAGGGTGTCCTTTATTCTCCCGTTAAACTAACCTAGGAGACTTTGTTACATAACACGTCTGTGAGTGGGGAAAGAAGACTTTGTTAGAGAGGCTGAAGGATGGCGGTAGTCGGGGTAAACTCTTAGAAGCGAGGAAAATCTCGGGACTACTTTAGAGCACAAACGGTCCTCTCCGCTTCAGAAATTCTTTGGCTTCTTCTCAAACTGGGTCCCACGACCTCTTTTGAAGACCTCTTAGATTTGATCAGGGTCCTCCCCTCCCACACTCACCCCACCTCCGCCTCACCCCCAACCAAACTAGCGACCTTGCCCATCCTGCACCACCACCACCACCGCCACCAAGCTTCTGGGTGCCCCCTCCCATGTCTGGGGTCGTTGCTTCCATGAAGCCCGGCTCTTTCTCAACGGGACGCCGGCTTTGCAAGTCTCCTCCTGCAGCTCCCCCCCCCCCCCCCAGGACTCTTCAACTGGGATAAAGGGCCGCCTCCGCCGCCTGCAAGAGCCCTGGATGCTCAGCCGTCAGCTGCCAGGAGGCGCTGATTTCATTCCCGCGCGGCTGTCGCTGTTGGGGGTAGGGGGTAGGGATGGGCGGGGGGGGGGGGGGAGCTGTGGGAGTGGGGGAGCTGGAGCCCAAGGGCGGGCGGGGCGGGAGGCGGCGGCCTGGGCCAGCAGAAGCTGAGCTACCGCCCGCCAGGGTTTATTACATCCCAGCCACCCGCAAAGGTTAGGAACGCGCATTTAGAGACACGATAATCCGAGTTTAAATATTAAAAGTAAAATCAGAACCAGTGGAGTATTTACCTAGAGACCGAGCAGATCTCTTTTGGCGAGGGGAGAGGACTCTGAGGAGACGCGCACTAGCTCTTCTCGGCCCTGTTGGCACCATCAGGCCAGTCGGGGCTCACTTGGTCTCCTTTCCCGCTGTAATGAGATGGGAGAGTCTGAGACCCCCTCGCTTTCCCAAGAAGGTCGTAGACTTTCGAGTTTGGTCCAAATCTTTTGCTTTGTCAGATTTCCATTTTTAAGGGCTTCACGGACTGACACAAAAGGTGGCAAAAAGTGCGTTGGATCAATAGCAAAGATTGTTATTTAGATAACGAATTAATCTCCCTGTTATAATACTTTTTCATAGTGAACTTTGTACCCCTTCCGTAAGAAAAGGGAATTTAAAGGGAAAAAGTCTCAAACAGGATTAAGGTTTTAATTACAACACCCTATCGAAATAGTATGTTTGATGAGCTGATCTTATCAATTAATAGTAACGTTAAGGCTGTAGAAACAGAGTCACAGAAAATATGCTTAAGGGAGCCTCTCTAAAGTAATCGCCCCTAGGAAGGTAGAGAGCCAGCAGGCCAGAGATACTGTGTCAAGAAGGTCTAGGATCCGCGCCTCTCTTACTTGGTTCCTGGTCGGAAGCGCATCTGGGGCAGGGGGCTGCGCTGGTGGAGGAAAATAACAAATAAGCAAGCCTCTTCCAAGCCGAGGCCCACATCAAAGTTGGGGCCCCATAAGGGCGGTGCAGTTCACTGAGTTTGGGTCAGCGTTATATTCGAGGGGCAAATAAAGTGATTTGAACATGCATCAACAGTTTTCCATAAAATACGAGTTAAAAGAAGTAATAGAAGTAATCACTGTCTCCTCAAATCAAGTAGAAAACATTTCAATGCACTAATTAGAGTAATTAGAATAATAAGCCTCTGCCTATATGTGGTAAGACAATGTGTACAAACAACTTTATTTAATGTATACTGGTAATCAGCGATGCGTGCCTGCTTGAATGCTCAGCGCAATAAAACTACCCTCCGTCCGCCCAAACAATCAAATACAAATTAGTTTAATGATTGTGCCTGCTGAATGTCTTAGAAATCCACAGGCAGAGGCGAATAAATAGAAGCATCCCTGTTTGTGTGCGACCCTGCCCCGGCTGGCCGCAGGGCCCGGTGAGTGACCACCACAGGCAGACATGGCTGGCTTGATGCTCCAGCACAGGGGGCTGAACCAGGCCCGGTGCCCGCACAGACTGCGCTTGGCCGGAGTCCCTGACTGTGTGGTTGGTCTGCCTTTCCCACCACGGTCAGCCAGCTCCCGATTTCTACAAGGAAGCTTAAGAGACAGCCAGCACTCCAGCCACCCCTAGCCCCCCTCCCCGCACGCCCCAAGAGGCCATTTCTTCTCCAACAGGAGAAAGGCCCTATGGAATCCCCAACTCCCTTCTGCGGGTTTTTTTTTTTTTTTTGAGAGTTTCTTTCCACATGGAAACTGCTTTGGAGGTTAGAAAACGCTGTGGGCTGGAAGCATCCACCAGCCTGAGAGTGAGTGGCCGGCCAAGGAGAGGCCTCCAGTCCTGGGGCGTGGCCCGGAACTTAGAGATTCTCCTCTCTGATCTTCTGCTCTGAGTACAGGGTACCCAGGGGTCCTTTCCCCTGCACTTGTCTCTGAGGAACTGACACTGGACTTTAGGCTCACAAGTGAGTGGCAGGTTCCTGGAAGTTAGAGAACCCTTTTCTTCCTTGCCTTTGCGCTTAGAAGAGAAAGTCCCTCTCCACTGGAAGCCGGCCGCTGAGACCAGAAACTATCAGAAGTTTGCTGAGTGGGAGCCGGAGGAGCACACGTTTAGAACTTCATTTCCCAACTTTCGGCGGCTCCCCTTCAATGCACAACCTCCACTAAGCTAGGAAACGGCCAAGTGACTTCCCAGCAGCCTTTTGTCCTGCCTCCACTTTCCCTGCTGTGGTGCCCAACTCCTTTTACTCAGGGCCACCGTCTTGCCTCTCCCAAGCTGATTGTTGTCCAGGGACTTTGCGGAGTCTAAGGGAAAAGGATGGCGGGCAGACAGTTGGGGAGATTCACTAAAGCTCTAACTTCCCTGTCACCTCTGTGCTCCAGGCACTTCTGTCCCTGCCACCCGCTGCCTGTCGCCAGGGTCTTCCTAGTCTGTTACTTGCTTTTCTCTGCCCACGGGCGGGCGAACATCATACACCCCATACATCAGTACTCAAAGCAGCACCCCAGCCTCAGGCCCTGACAGACGGATCCGTCAGTAGTTCCTGAAGGCGCTCACCCCTACAGACCGCCCTTGAGAAGAGAGACTTGGGATCCACCTCGGTGACCGCCCTTCCCACAGAGGTCAGGACTTCGCTGCTCTTGGAGACCAGAAAAATCCCCGATTGGCCGCACCTCTCAGCCAGGCCCGGGCAGACAAGGAATGACCAGCTCCCCTCACAGGCCTTTCTTCGGTGCTCAGGTCCGCTGCCGAGGTCCCTTAAGACCTCCACTGAGCCATGGTAGACGCCTGGCGGTAAGTCAGCACCCATTCCTGCCTTGCCCAGTAGCTGGAAGAACTTTGAAGGAATATTTGTTAGGGGTAAACAACATCAACAAAAGTTATTAATTCAAATAATTCTCTCCAGAATCCTGCGCTGTGGAGCATAAAAGGTCACATAGAAATTCCTCTGACAGAATGAGATTTCTTCTGAGGGGGGAGGGAAGGAGCGCCCACATTTGGCTCACAGATTTGCTTGAACCTTAAAGCCCTTGGATTACAAAGGCCAATTTGTGTTACAAATTCACAAGGAACTTTCTTTTCTCCACTCTGCTGCCAAACTCTGTGGCCGTGGATTTTGGCCCGTGAAGCTTAAAGAGAAAAATCTTCCCTTTTCTTTGTAAACAACAAAGGTAGAAGAAACACTGGTGGGAGGGAAAGCATATGACCCCAGTTTTTCAAAAAGACCCCAAGTTCCAATTTACTCTGGCACACGAAGAGTTAAATCACAACAATCAAAATCCTCACCAGCTTTCTCAGACCGGGCTCTAAACCCAAACCCTTGGCACTGTGTGTGTGTGTGTGTGTGTGTGTGTGTGTGTGTGTGTGTGTGCCTTACTCACCAGTCCCATTCTCAAGCAGGGAGAGAAATTTGAGGGCAAGTAACAGACCCTTCGAAAGCCCAGGCTCTTTAGACACAAACCACTTATGGAAGCTCTCTTGCCCCCACCCCCTTTCCAGACAAAGAGCTATAAAAACTCAAAAAGACGGGAAGAATGGACTTTAAGATATAGATGCACTTTTACTGGTGTATTAAATAACATAGCAGACATTTTTTTTAAAAAAAAAAGAAATACAACTTAGTGTTACCAACAATCAGAATCCTAGGAACAATAAGAGACTAAACTGTTTTGATGGGATGTGATATTGTCTCTAATAACCTCTAACAGCTAAGTCGAGGAGCAGTGTCTTTAAGGTCCAGGAAAGGTCCTACATAATAAAGTTGATTAACTTTTTTTAAAGAAGAGAAAAAACGTTCTGGTTTTCCCTGCACAAACGCCAGAACAATGTGAAAATATTCTGATTGTTTATCTCCACACCCAAGCAAAGCCTTGAAGCAGCTGAAAGTCATTTCCACCACTCCAGTACTTGTCTCTAGATAGGCAGACATTGAAAAACAAAAACAAAAACAAAACATTGGTCCAAGTTCTGGAAACATGGGCCAATTGATTCCACGAATTTGTGAGCTGGGTAGCAGACCCTTTTCGGTTTTTCTGATCCTGAATCAAGGGGCTCAGTGCTCCTCTCCTGGGGTGTGAATTCCATTCAGAGACTATGTATCATTTCAAAAAAGTAAACTTTCCTCAGAGAAAATATTTATCTAACACCCAGACGAATTGTCAAGATTCGGGGTACTTCCTGATGCAGGTCCCCCTTTTGAAGTAAACACCATTCCTTTGCTTTACCACTGAGATGTACAAGACGCCTCTACATCACCACCCTTCCTTTTTTTTCTGTATAAACTCCATCCTTCACCCCATTCTTTAATTTGTATGGGAATTCAATAGAATTTAGAACAGAGTTCCATGAATGTATTGAAAAAATCAACAAAGAGAAACCAAAAGGAGAAGAAATAAAAGGGCAATCTCATCTGGCTCCCTGGCACTATCCAAGATGCTTCTTCCGCAAGGAAACTAAGGGGTGAGTGAAGACAACACACGTCTGGGACCAGTGCATGCAAGAGCCACCCCCATAGTCGCTGCTGTCATTTTATTAGTTGTTTCCGAAGAAATGAGATGACAGATTAGTGCCTTTATTAAAACCACTTCACCAGAAAATTCTCACAACCTGTATGTAGCCTCCTCTGTAGGAGCAGGAGGGGAGAGGGAAGACAGAGGTGGTTTTGTTGCTGCTGTCTGAAACATAAAGGACATTTCTTCGTGAGAATTGGCAATGTTTAAAATCACCAATCATAATGTATTGTTTGTGGCCATTCCTTCCCTATGACCTTCACATGCTCTCTCATATATGATAATTCCCCGTTATGTCTATACATATATAATAAACCTAAAATATGGCATGTTTTGAGCAAACACAAACACTGAGGGTTTTTGTCTTTAGGATACAGATGGCTTCTCGGTATCTTAAATTACCTCATAGGTTTGTATTAGTGGCTATGACTTTTTTTTATGTAGTGGGCCTTACATTCTAAGTCTGGCACAGAAGCTACTAGAGCATCTTTAGAATATGAATGGCCAGCATGAATCAGGAACACAGTGTGCCTGTTTATTCTATGCTATTTCCCAGCCTGTTCTTAGCCCTCCTGGCTAAGAACAAAAATGCCTTCTCAAGGCCCACCGAAATGCCCTGCAGAGGGCAGATGCGGCTTGCTTTCTGCCTTGAGCAGAGGGATATTGACCCAGAACTCAAATCTATACTTAGCTTAAACATTTTACCCATCAGCATGTCTGCGGTCACAAAACACTTCTTCTTCCTGTCACTTCTTGTTCAGACTATTGATAAGATCATTTGGCAGAATCTGTTTGGGACCCATGTAATATTGACTAGGAATTAGAAAGGATGATCAGAGGTAATAAGCCCAGAAACTACTTTCCTAAATGGACATTTCTATTTTAAGTCAGTGTTCCAGGGAGGACTTTAAATACACCAGCAAACTTATATAAACTAATTCAAGACTGCTTGAACACCCCACTAACATTAAAAGCTATTTTGTTTGTTTATTTTTTTTTAAGTGCAGTGCTCTGTCTAACACCTGAAACAAACCATTAGTACTATGGCTTGAGTCTCTTCAGTACATTCTTCCCCTCCTCTTTAAATTTGGAGTGTGTGGTTGTTATTGTTGTTTGCCTGATGAGAAAGAAGCAATGTCGTAAAAAGTATCTTTCCCAGTGAATCTAAGATAAACAACACTAGCATCTACTTTTAATCACTTGGTGAACACATGGCATTTTTGTTGATGAAAAGTATTTGTTAATTGTGAAGAATAATTTCTAGCCAGGTCTCACTATTCTGAAGATCCCAAATTACGTTAAGCACAAGTGAGTAGAGGCTAAAGTCCATCTAGTTTCACTGAAGCTTCTCTGGACACGCCATTGGCGGAGGTGCAGCTAACCTGGAAGGAAGGTGTAGAGAGATGGGCATGTATTTGCAAGGCAAATGTTTTTTGTTGGTTCAGGAAATGGCAAACAAATAGAAGTTCAAACCGAATGACTATTTGATTTAATACTATAAGGCAGCGAAGGAAGCATTTGTGATCCATGATAGTTTCTGCAAAGAAAAGTCCGGATAGTAGTCCTCATAAAAAAAAAAAAATCAGGAAAATGTCTCTGGAAGTTATAAACATGGAAGCTGGCAATATATGTATAAGATTTATTCCAAAACTTTGTGAAGAATAAAGGAAGGGAAGTGTCTTATACACAACTGAGCTCAGTATGTCTAAAGTCTAAGTCTAGGTACGGCTTCTCCTCCTCTTAGGACTTGCACTATCTTCAAAAATAAAATAAAGATATTTCAATAATTAGAACAAACTATGAAGGTATTGTGCATTTATGTTTTATGTAATAATAAAATATTACTTTAACATAAATATATAAGGATCTCTGCGCTTTTATTTTCCCCACAAGCACAATCAAATGTACCAAAACAAAGCATTTTTTTTAAAAAAAGAAACTGAACAAAAAAATGACATCCCATATAGATCTTGCTACCTTCTCATTTAAAGCTACAGAAAAAGAGTTTTCAGAACCTTTTGCTCCAAAAGAAATAAATATACATTGAGGCAGGCCACGTAAAACGATATGAAAATATTTCCCTGGGTAGCATTAAGAAAAAGAAAAATAGACAAAGAAACATTTAAACTATTTCTGCATTTCAAAAGACAGATATGAAACATATATACATATGGTAAGGTTCAGTGGTAACTTTCAATTTTGTAAGCCTATGAGAGCAAGAGAAGCTGTAGGCACATCCTCTGAATCCCAGCTTCCAACCTTACCTACTTGGTAGCAAGGATCTGCAAATTCATTTCCTCCTTTTACCATTGGCTCTTTGCCCTCCTCTGGACTGCTTCACTGGAGTCTACTCCCCACACATCAGGAGAAAGCAGTGTGATCTAACCTGAAATAGCTCTATGCCATCACCTGTGACATTCATTGGGAAAAATGAAATACAGGCAAATAAATCTGCCCATCAAAAGTCGCCATTTATCTTGCAAAAACATTGAAAATGAAACAATCACAGGTGTTTGAAGAGACAATACTGGATAAAGCATATTTCCTAAAACCTTACTACTGAGTGCAATGCTAATCTGATGTTGAACCACATTTTTATGGTAGTGAGAATTTAATTTTTAAAAATAAACATTTATCTAATACCTAACAAAGAAATAAAACCCCAAACATTTAAGGTTACTAAAAAAAAAGAGTGTTTTCCCTTTTAGCGCCCTTTTGTGCTGATAACTATTGATTTTTTTAACTGATCACAGTTTAGTGGTGTTAATTTTAATATAGTCATAAGATTTTTTGTTTTATTTTTTTCGGTTGTTGTTGTTTTTTTATTACCTACACCTTTCAGAATATTTTATTGTGTTGGGAGTAAACCATTTCCCATCGAAACAAGGTAAAAAAAGAAATACACTGAAAAAAATTTTTAACAAAAGGGGAGAAAGGAAGTATTGAAAATGTCCCCCCCCTCACTTCATTTGTCTTCCTTAGTGAAAGAGGGGGAGAACTCTGTCCAAGCTGAACTGATATTTTTCTGTAATAAATTATGGGAGAAGATGATGTAGGACCCAAATTATAACTTGATAAACAAATGAACTGCTAAAGACAAAACCTGTCTATCATATATATATACACACACACATATATATGCACATATATATGTATATATGGTGTATGCATTTGTGTGCTAAGAAACACTGTCTATGTGTATGTTTTCAAGTTCCTGGGTTTTTTCTTTACCTACAACAACAAAAAAAGACCTAGTAGAGGGACAAAGTTTAACCACTGCTGTCGTCACAACTAATCCCTTATAATTAAGTTATTGAACCCAAAGGCAGAGAACTGTACAGTGTGTTTCCCAGTTCTCTCCAGAGTTCCCAGTTTCTTTCTGGTGGACAACTCCAGCAATATATTTAACCTCGCATTTCTTCTGAGTTTTTCCACAAACGGCCGGCCCTGCCTGATAAAATGAAGTGACTGGTCACTCACTATCGATTTTCCCTTTTCTTCCCTACCTAGAAATACTGCCTGAAAATGAAGTTTACCTTGTGGTTTACAAAAACCAGTGCTTACATTTATATCCCAAACAGTATTCCTGCCTTGCATAAAGCGGGGAAACCATACACATTTCCTGAATGCAAACATTTATTTATTTTATATGAAGCCAATCACTTTGATTTGATGGAAAGAGCCAATAAATGTTACACCAGGTCTGCGGGGTTTGAAGAAAACAAGAGTTTATAAGCAGTAAGGACAAGGGACATGGGAACACTAGAAAAGGAGGTTTGCCAAGAGCTGACTTCTGTCCTCCCTGCTGGAGAAGGCAAAACAAAACAACCCAAAAGGACAGTTTCAAAATTAACAGTGCATATTGAGGGAAAAAAGTTGAACTTGTTAATGTAAACTTCAATTTTCTTGCAGTGCAAATTTGTGTGGTTAAAATTTGCCTATATATTTAAAAAAGTGTATTTTCCCTCTTTCCTGATGGGGACCCATGTTAAATAAACACAGCAGCACGTGTCAACTATGAGCATTGGGAAGCTGCAGTTCTGTGTTTTGTACGGTTTGGTGGACTTTTCTTTCTTTTTGGTAATTTATTTAGTTTTTCCGGGACACTCTCTCTCTCTCTCTCTCTCTCTCTCTCTCTCTCTCTCTCTCTCTCTCTCTCACACACACACACACACACACACACACACGCACACACACACTACTCCTCTTCACTAAGAGACATTCTATTTCACTTTCTGTGTACTCGTTTGCAAAGGTCAAAACCCATCATTACACCTGCTATCTGTTTTAGGATAGTCCAGTGTCTTCGTTCCTTTCCTTTTTTCTTATTTTCACTATTTTTTTTTCATTTTTAAAAGACCGGGAAAATAATAATTAAAAATAATAATAAAAAAAAACAATTAGAAGTTAGAGGGGGAACAGAGGTCCCGTGAAGGACCATGGACCAAAGGGGAGGGGGAGCCCCACGCTCTGCCCCTCCCCCTCTTGAGTTCACTGGACGGGCGTCTGCACCCCGTGGTGTGGTGGCGTGTCCCTACTCCCCCCGTACACATCCTCGGCGCCCGGCAGAGTCCCTCCGGGAGGGGTCATCCTTTTCTCTTTCTGTCTCCTGTTACAAAACCAAACTCTCACCACCTCCTTCTCCAGCTGTAAGCTGTCCGCGAGGGAGGTGATCTCCTGGGCCGAGGGCTTGGGGCATTTGAGGAAATGGCTCTCCAGAGCCCCCTTGACGCTCACCTCGATGGAGGTCCGCTTTTTCCGCTTGCGCCCTTGCGCTGCGATCTTGTCTATGCTGGTGGGGCTGCCCGAGGACGAGTCTGCCTCTTCCAACCACTTGTTCAACAAAGGCTTCAGCTTGCACATGTTCTTGAAGCTCAGTTGCAGGGCCTCAAACCTGCAGATGGTGGTCTGCGAGAACACGTTGCCATACAGGGTGCCCAGCGCCAGCCCCACGTCTGCTTGAGTAAATCCTAGTTTTATCCGCCTCTGCTTGAACTGCTTGGCGAACTGCTCCAGGTCGTCTGAGGTCGGCGTGTCCTCGTCCGAGTGCGGGTCGTGGTGTGCGCCTGGGTGGCCCGGTGGGCCTTGAGGGGGAGGCGGCGGGGGCGGTTGCTGGTGAGGGTGAGAGTGCGGATGCGGGTGGTGGTCTGCATGATGCGGCTCGTCGTGGGCGTCCCGCAGGCCGTGGTGGTGCAGCCCTGCCGGCTGCCCTCCTGCGCCCAGCATGCCGTTCACCGTGAAGCTGGGCTGCGAGTAGAGCAAACCGCCGTTGGACGCTCCCATGGAGGGAGGGAGGTGAGCTGCAGTCGCCGCACTCCGCCATGCCCCGGGCCCGGGGTGGTGGTTGCCAGCGTGGTGCACCAGATGTGGCGGTCGCTGTTGTTGTTGTTGCTGCTGCTGCTGTTGTTGCTGCTGCTGCTGTTGCTGTTGCTGCTGTTGGTGCTGCTGCTGTAGCGCTCCTGGCCCGTGCAGCTCATCGCCTCGGCCACCCTGCTGTACCACCACCGAGGGCTTGATGTCCGGCTGGCCTAGGGGGCTGGTGGACCACGGGGAGCCGTCGCCGCCTCCCCCGCCACCTCCCCCGCCTCCTCCACCGCCGCCGCCGCCGCCCCCGCCGCCGTGGGACAGCGCGGTGATCCACTGGTGAGCGTGGCTGAGTGGGTGCCCGTTGCTCTGCAGAGCGCCGTAGTCGCCCTGCACCAGGCTCTGCGCCTCGCGATAGCCCCCTGCGCCCTGCTGCATGCCGCCGGGCGGCTCAGCGTGCACGATGGAGGCGCTGGAGGTGAGCAGGCTGTAGTGGTTAGACGCTGCGGTCGCCATGACTCTCGGAGCCGGACTGGGCGCTCTGGTTAAAGGAGCCGCGCATTTGACAGTTACTTTTCTGCCTGGGGCTCTCTCTCCTTGCTCGCCCCGCTCTCTCCCTCTCTCTTTCTCTTTCCCCTAGCGGGCAGCTCCGACGCCCGCTCCGACGCCTTCTGTTGCTGCTCCTGCTATTACTGCTGCTGCCGCGCTGCCACCCGCCCGCCCGCCCTCGCTCTTTCTCCTCCTCTCCCTCCTCTCGCTCTCGCTCACTCTCTGACTCGCTGGGCGCTCCCCCCTCTCCCCGCGCTCTCAAGCTCTCTCCCGCTCTCTTGGCAGAGCCCGCTCGCAGCGGCACGCGCCTGGGCCCCGCCCCCTCCACCCCCTCCCATTGGCTCTGCGCCCTTTGATTTACGTGGATACCGCTAGCAACCTCCCAGGCCGGCGCCACTGATTGGTTCAGAGCTCCACCACCCCCCCTTCCCTCGGGCTCCCAGTCTTCTTAGTCCTTCCTCTCGTACCCCCACCCCCAGCCCAGCGATTCAGATTCTCTTAGTTCTCACCCCCCCTCTCCTCTTCTGTCCCCGGCCTCCACCTCCCCTCTCGGATGGGCCCCGCCCCCCATCTGTCTCCCAAGCTGAGAAGCCTGGCAGCGGGGCGGTCCAGGAGCTCTGGTGGACTACAGTCGCTCGGAAGACTTGTACAGGAGGGAGTCTACTTTCTCTTCCCAATAGGTCTTTTTGGGGGGCGTGTATCGTGGAAGAGAAAGGCTGGGTCTCACCGAGTCAGCAGGAGTCCTATTTTCATTTTTCTAGGGACACACACTCACTCACACACACGGTGTGTGTGACTGAGTGTGTGTGTGTGTGTGTGTGTGTGCAGAGCGCGTTCCAATGTCGTTTAAACCTAGAGCTAGAACCAAAGCCAGACTAATCGAAACCTTCTTTCTTACCATGGTTATAATTACAGCGCACAGGTGTCTTGTGCTCTCTATAGATACTTTTGTCCTTAAATAAAGATCCTCACCTTCCCCTTCACCGCAATAGCCAAGATCCCTTAAGCTTCAGATCCAATTTTATCTCAGTTTCTTTCTCAAAAGTCTCCGGGAGAGAGAGGCTCAACCTACGCCCTGGATTTTGAACAACTCCAGTTGCACGGTAGTGCCTATTCTAACAGCTCAGCGTTCTGAACTGGAAACAAAACTCTGGAAGTGTGTGCCACACTGACACTCGGTGTGCACAGAGGTTATAGTTCAGAGAACCGGGAGTTTTCCTGGACAGACCTTCGCCTTGTATGATCCTTAGGGAGTCTCAAAGAAGAGCGAGCAGCCTCGGACTGGTGGAGCTGCTGAGTGCGGCTCTGGAAAGCCGCGCAGCTGAAGCTCTGCGCGTTTTCATCCGACTCCAGGCCTGTCTGTGCAACTTTCGCATTAGTTGCTGCAAGTGGGAGGAAGACAGACGAATGGGCTCCTGCTACGAAGTCCTTTCTAAAGAGCGCTTCAGCGGGCGCCAGAGGCCAGGTTTAGTCTAGTGTTTCAGGTGCTGGCTAGTTAAACCTTCCAGCGGTTAACTTCCTAGTGAGACCCAGGACCAGTGCATTCACGGCGGGGGATCTGACCAATGCAGAGCTTCGCCCCTCCAATTCCTAAGGAGCTAGATGGCTGTAGCCAATTTCCGCGCCTGCGAGCTGGGTAGCAGAGATGTAAGATCAAACTCGGGCTTGAGCGGCGAGACTGGCGGGTACAGTCTGGAGTGCACGCACAGGCCCGGCACAGCTAATCATAAGTATTGCGACTGAAGGAAAGACCTGGGGAGCACGAATGGCCTCCCCACCTCCTCGCCTTGGCCCGGCGCCTGGTGATGTTCGCGCCGGCTCTTTCGGCCAAATCGACGCTCAAAGGGAGCATTTTAGAACCTCGGAGCATCTTAATCTAGACAGCAGAATGGAGCGGGCCAGAAAAATTCATCATGACTAACGAGGAGCGATGCTCTTCCGGGAGTGGCTGAATTGTTTATAAATCAATGGGGCTGAGCACTAGCCAGGGCTAGGAGACTTGGCTGAGAATCTCCACGTGTCCGGTGTTTATGAACATGTGTGGAGGAGTGCGAAATGGCTAGGGGAGGGGCGAGCCCACCCCGCAGCCAACAGGACAGATCTACACCTTCCCGCGCGCACCCGCTAGGCTACGATTCACATTGAGCACCTGGCGAAGTGTTTCAGCGTGAACGTTCAGACACTTTGGCTGTGCACCTGGGGGCTGTTAGGAATTTGGTAACTTTATCAGACCAGTAAAAGCTTGAAAAGTTCCAGCCTTCTCAGTGCGCAGACTCAGCGACTGATGAGGGTGTTTTTTTCTGGTTTGTGCACTCGGCGGGGCGGGGAGGGGGTTACGGGGAGGGGGAGACAGGAGAGGCAGCATCCTCATGTCACCTGCCTCCAGTCCTCTGCTCCTAGTAAGATGTTGTCTGGTTTGGGGAGCCCGCAGGTCCCTCTCCAGCAGTGTTCCTTCCCAGTCCTCCTGGCTTTGCTTTCTTGCTTCCCAGGAGTTCAGAGCTACAACCTACGGGAGAATTTAGCTGCCTGGAATGACCCAAGGCAGTGTGCAGAGAGCGATTCCCTTCCCTGCCCGCAAGGGCAGGTGTCCTCCTGTTCCTATTTAATTTCATCACTTAAAAAAAATTACAAGAATCTTTGCAGCCCATAGGATGATACTCTCAAGGAGAGAATTAAGTTTCCAGATATATTTCCGAGGGATTTGTGGCTGTCCAGGTCTCTGTAAGAGCCCCTCCTCTCGGTATCTTGCCTACCCCCTCCCCCAAGGGGTACCCTGAGCACTGAATGCTAAGTATGTGTGCCTGGTGGTGATGGGGGGGGGGGGGGGAAACTGGAGGCACCTGAATATCAGAGCTTACTTTGGTGGGACTTCACTGTCCCTTAATGCCAGCAGATCCTCCCCATTTTGATGTCCTACATCTGCACTTCACACTACACCCCTCTCCCCCAGCCCCGCCTCCTTCGCTGGCGAGCAAAAGAACTGGCCCGATCGCTTTCCAACTGGTATAGCTGGGAGAGTGGTACCCTGGCTTAGAATGCCTATTGAATCCCGGGAGTATACTAAACGGTGTCCCTCCAAGGGGCCTCAGCGTCTGCCTTCACGCCCGCCTCGGGTGTAGGGCCAGCGAAGGGGAGGGCCGGGCTGGGAGCGCAGCTCCACTTGGAGCACCGCCCCTCTCCACCCCTCTGGGAGCCAAGGCCGCCTTCGCCTGTGGCTAGGGGCCTGGTTGGCTCGAATGCGGGGTTCGGAGCATCTGGGAGTCCGGCCCCCCGCCCCGCGTGCCTTCCCGGGGATTCCAGAAAGCCTGGCTCTCAAAGGTTTTTAGCTTCAGATGGGGTCCTTCCTCTGGTCCCACGGTCACTAGCGCGGTTGTTCCAACTGACCCAGTCAGGAAAGAGACCGCCGGTTTGCCTGCCTGTCTCCGCCAGAAACACAGAGCGTTGAAGGTGTCTCGGGTAGACTCCTTCGGATTTTGATTCAGCTTGTTCTTTTTCACTGTTCAAAGCAGCTGTTCAAACACTGCGGCTGCTTACGCTGACGTGGAGAGGATTTCAAACAACCCTAAAATGCTTTGAACTGACAAGGTGCCTTGATAGCTGCCTCACTCCAGCACAGCTCCTCCGGAGCACTTGCTAGGACAATGGCTGAGCAAGCAGTTGGTGCTGGCCTCTCTGCCTGGGGAGAGGACTGCCCAACCCCCAGAGCCCCTACTGTAGGGCTAGGCTGGCAGCACAAAGGAGAGAGATCTTGTCTTAGGCTGCACCTCAGGTTCACTCAGATCTTCTGGAAGGGCATTCTTCAGCGGTACTGTGGCTGCTCTGGTCTGAAGCGGTGTGGGCTCCGCTGGGTTTAGAATGCACTGAGCAGAGGGGAAACAACCCGAATACCCTCACGACGCTAAAACACAAAAACAAGCGGCATTTGTGCTCCTTGAGATACTGTGTCGGGCTGTGGAAAGCGGCAAACAGCATCTTGACTCCAGATCCCAAACTCTTCACCTGAGTAGCAATTAGGAGAGCAAGTCAAGCTGTGTAACTTGAACTCTAGCTTGTTAACTTGTAAACACGCTCATGTCCTATATAAAACCTCGTTTATGTATTTCTTTATGTTAGGAGTTGACCAAAGGTGTACCTAAACCGTTCTCGTACTTTGAACTGAAACCACGCATTAATTTGATAGATTTAAATTTTTCCTCATTATGCAGTCTCAGAAAAGTAGAAATTAGGTAACAACAGAAAACAAAGAGAATTTTTTTAGGTGCCCAGTGGAAGAGTAGAAGAGGCAACTGATTTAAACATTATGTAAAAGTGACCATTGCTTTTATTTTTTTAAGTACCTTGGGGTGGGATTACCCCTTCTCCACCTCCCCTTCTTGCTTTCTGCTCTTCCTCCAGCCCCAGCAGCTGGAGACCTCCTCTCTCCACATCTGAATAGAACTTCTTTGCTCAGGGCCTACAGAATGTCAAAACTGAGGCTACAGCATCAGAGCTCCAGGTTTGAAACCACCCCACACAAAGAGGCAGCTGGTTGCCTTTAAGCTTCAAGCACTGCTGCCTTGGGAAGACATTTATACGGAGCAGAAAAATGCATTGACGAATCACATGTTCTTGGGAAATAGACAATAAAATTTACCTCAAAAAAAGAAATCAATCTTAACCATGTAGCTATGCACTGTCTCTTGAATAAAGAATCCCCCATTTAAAATTTTATGTTCCATCTATAAATACATTTTGCAAATTCCTAAACGTTCATCTGTCCCTATGTTCCTGGAAATGAAAAAGAAACCCTGAAGAATGATAAGGTCTCTGAAAGTTGCAGTGTCTAAACTCATACATTTGGCAAGTTAGTTTCTTGATGGCTTGTGCACACAGAATCCTGTTTATTTTCCATTATCAAATAGTCCATTGAAATATGCCATTCAGTGGTATTTGAAAATTGTAATTGAAATGAAGTTATTTGGATTCATGGGTATTAATCTTCTTTCCCTTCTTCAAGATATGGATCTCATCATTTAAAATGACCCACTCTTTGTCCTCCCAAAGAGAATGTTTTATAAGCAGGCATGGCTTGAAGACTTCTAACATCCCACCACCCGGGCAGTCTAGCTGTTTCCAAGCTTACTGTGAGTAATTTATCAAAGGAAGCCTGCTAAATTTTGAGTGTTGAATGCAAGGCCAGAGCATAGAGTCACTTCAGCAACCTGCCAGACCCTGTGTGGAGAGGCTGAACTCTTAGGGACAGAACACAATGGTCTTTGTGCCTTTTAGCTCACTTCCTTGAAATTTCGTTGTTGAAGTACCAGAGGTTAAATAAATTCCTAACAACGAAGCCTAAAGGTGTGTGTTTTTCTCTTTACCCTAAGGCAGGTGGATGGATGGCCACCAGGAGGAGATGGCAACACTTTGATAAATTAAAGGGACTTGATCAGAAATCCTCTAGGCTGGAGAGCATTTGGAAGTGTTCTGAGATGCGGCTCCTGTTGCAGCCTTTACCTCTCTTCATCCTCTGGACCCATCTGAGAAGGCAGGCCAGGTCACGAGCACACCTGCCCCTGAACAATCAGTCATTTCACTGAAGCCGAGGTCTGGGTTTGGTTCTTTGCCCCTAAAAGAAACAGGCTGTTTTCAGTTGAAGTTAGATTTCTGTTCTCTTATTCTCCCAGCACAAAGAACAAATGCAAATCCCTTCCAAAGTGTACAAGTACACTTAACAATTTTGTCATCAGTACTGGGGACCACAGCCAGCAGGAGTGGGGCAGTGTCAGGGAGAGGTCTTTTCTTGAGAGCAGTTAGCCGTATTGGTAGTAACTGATTGCCAAGACCTCATCCTAGGTCCCCGAGTTTAAGTTATGTTTTTCTATGTACCTCTGGACATAATAAAGTTAAGGATGGAATTATTTCTAAGGAAGAATTTTCAGAATGTGGTCTGTAAAGTGTTTTGGGATTGCCTGGCAAAGGTCTAGAGAAAGGAAGCCTTAGGTAGAGGAAGTAATGAGACTGCCTCTCTTTGCTCGCCTTTTCTGAGAATTTTCAACGATAATCTAGGGAAGCCTTGGCTCTAGTGTTGCATGCAAAACAGAGAAAGAAGACAAGGCAGAGACACAGGCCTTATCATTTTAGTGCCCTAGGTCAAAGGGAGAGAATAATGAATAAGGCTTGGAACTTAGTTCTTGGAAGGGAACTTAATTAACCTTGGAAGAGTGAAAGAAAGTGGGGGATCAAGCCTAGCACCGGACGTAGGAGGATTGTTTTTATGCGTGTGTTCGCGCGTGCGCGCGCGCCCTGCCATACAGGTGAAGTCTACTTCATGGATTACCCCAATTAATTTTTAATCCTGGGGGGGGGGGACCCTTGTGTTTCTTTTCCAAGGGATCATCACTCCATCCCTTCAAATCTGGCTGAGAAGTTCGCTGTGGGAGCATGGAGATCTCGTGCGCGCGGGAGGGGGGGGGGTCTTGTAGTCCTTGCCTCTGCCTGCACGCGTGATCAGCAGGGGTGTGGGGAAGAGGCTGCAGCGGCTGGTGAGCGTTGTTCCGACCTCCTGAGGGATTGCTAGAGAAGGAAAAGAAAAGTGTGTGTGGGGGTGTCCCTGGCTGCAGAGCGCCTAGTCAGGTCCTGGCTGCTTTCCGGGAAGGAAGACAAGGGCGAGAAGCGGGAGGCCCGGCCATTGTCCAGGGAGGGCGCATTTTTGTCCCGCCGCTGCTGGTTGCTATAGCGAGCAGGGAAATCCAAACAGAAGGGCTCAGTTAGCTCCCCCTTGGGCCTGGGAGTAGGGCTCCCTCTTCTCAGCCAAAATAAAAGTGCCGCCTAGGGCCTGGCACTTTTACCGAAGAGTTGACTGCTGCTTCCAGAAGAGGGGCCCCGGGGACCACAGCACAGAGCAAGGAGAGGGGCTCTATTGGCAAGGAACAGCCGCACCGGTTACTGATAGACTCCCCCGCCCCAGCCACCTCACGCAAACCCATTCTTTTCCTACCTTATTCTATTTGGGGGCAAAAGAAATTTCCTACAACTTTCTCAAACTCCCATTATGTCCCGTGTTCTTGAAAACCACTCTCCAGCAGGACTGACGCAAGGGAATGGCTCTACAGGCTTCTCGTCTCTGAGAAGGACTACAGCGCTCGGAACCTACTGAGAAGCAGCGGCAATACCTGGGCCACACTGCCCTGATCTGACTTTTAGACTCACTCAGAGGAAAAGTTGGCTCAAATGTAAAATCGATGACCATGCGAAACTTTAACATTAAGAAGACTTTTATTTTGCAATAGTTTTTTAAAAAAAGAAAAGAAACAAGCCTTGCCATTCAGCTTTGAAGACATTGTGAAGAAGGGCTGCAGTGAAGTCTTTTTGTGGGCATTTACTCCTGTGTGTGTCATTTCTCCAACAGTACAGCTCCTGGGAGATAGGAGAATAACAATATTTAGTTAGTAGTAAACTGTTAGCTTCAGAAAATTCTGAGCTTATACTTTGTCAAGTGAGAGTCACAGTTGATGACAGGGCAGATAAACAGTCAAGATTTCATTCTGGATGCCAACTTTCTCCACCAAAGGAGTGAGGTGACAGGGACTTTAACAGGATTCTTGCTCTACAGCATCTTTGAAAGCTTGACATCTTTTGCCTCCTTCCTCTTCTCTCCCATTCTCTTTCTCTCTGTCTCTCCTCTAGAAACTCCACTAAAAGCTACATGGACAACTTTTATTTGATCCGAGGAAAAAATTTAAAGTCAAATAATTGTTTCTCTCTCCTTCCACTATTTAAAATACATTCTGTCTCTCCTAATGACACACTCTTTTAAATGGAAAGTTCATACAACTTTGGAAGAAGTCCCTTAATTTATAATGATATTCACATTTTAAAAAATGCTTGAGAGAAATCATGTTAATGAAGAGAACATTCGCAGTAATTTGGTGATAATTATCAGAATCACCACATATTCGCAGAGGCTTGAACAATACGTGTTCAGAGAAAAGCAAAACACATTATTTTAATGGTCTGATATGCAAACTATAGACTGTTCAATTATGTAGCTTAATAATGCATACAAGATGTGATCTTGTTATTGGGATAGGAGGGTGTGCAGTGAGTCACTCTTAGTACCAAGAGTGCTCTCACATCCAGTAAAATCCATTCCCGTGGATCAGAGGCCCCTGCCAAACTGCATTTAAGAGTATAAAAATTAATGACTGAGAATTTGAGCGTTAAATTAACATTAATTATATGACCTGCATGCTAGAAAGATTAAATTTCTTACACCCTAATTAGATAACATCTCCTCATACATCAAACGATTTCTATTTTCAGTTCCAGGTTTCAGGAATACGGTGGCAAGTGCACATGGGGCAGCTAAGTGTTTCCTTAGCTGAGGTCAGTTTTCCCTGGCAAAGTATCAAGACTGGAGGTTTAGGAAAGAGACTTAAGTTCATTCCGACCTTGCACCGGTTGTGGTACTTGGAAAACAGGGACTTTGGCAGGTGGCTCTCAGATGAGCCTGAAGCCCCAGAGGGTCCCTTTGCAGCAGTCAGAAACTAGATTGAGTCCACGGGCTAGTCTCTCAAGGTCAGCAAAACTAAGTGGCAAAAGTCCTGAAATTCCAGTCAGCGAATACCAGCGAAGATGGATCCCTCTTTAAGAACAGAAACCTCTTAGCTTGAAGTGAAAGTTCTTAAATTGGTTCAAAATGAAGGTGAAACAGTAAAACAACGGTAAACAATCGCACCCAGTCTTTCTAATGGGGAGGGGAGGAGGCAACCAAAAGCCCAAACAATAGAGCCCACTTTCTTCTGGGGAGGCTTAGAAGTCTGTGGTGCAGTGACATTTCCAAATACCACCTATGCTGATCACAAGTACTCCTTGCTGTCCTGGTCACTCCGCCTCGATTTGACCTGGCCTCGGCCCCGCCCCGGTGACTGCCCCCTCTGGTTGAGTTAGGTTGGGGGGGCAGGGCACGTCTCTACCAGGCGGAAATCAGTAGCAGATAGAGAGGCAGCAGAAAAAGGGCAGGATTAGGGGGGAGAGCACCCTCCCACACACCACAGGCAGATGGTTGGTGATGGCCAGTTCATTCTCTTGATTTCTAAATCGGGACTTGCCTGTCTCAGGGCTCAGAAGAAAGCTGTCCTGAGAATCTGGTTTGGAAACAATACCCAGGGAGTTAAATTCCTTTAGGTTGTGGGGTTTTCTCCTAGATACACTGTATGGTCCGGGCGGATCACGTCCCAGTGTGCCTCCCAATACCCTCACCTTCCACAAGACCATTAGGATAACTGCTCTTAAGGCTGGGCGGGACCAGAGGGGCAAGATTAAAACCTCAAGGCAGCCAATTCAAAGTCACTCAGAATAGAGTTTTCACGTGTCAGTGTTTCCATTCAGCCACCTTCAGGCTTCTGGGGGTAAAGGGCATGCGGGCGACAGTGCGCTTCTAGGCGGCCCAGTGACTGGGGAAAGGGCGGGCGAAGAAAGTGAGCGGTCCGGACTGATGATTCCTCGTGGTCCCTGGCCACGCCAGGTGGGACTGTCTAGAGAGTCCAAGTGGATTTGGGAAAGGGTAGTGACTTCTGCCACCCCATGCGCTGCCCAGCGCACCCTCCGACTTGGCAGTGTCTGATTTAACGCCCTGTCCCGGGTGGAGTACCTTTCCTGGGTGGCAATGGGCCTGAAAGTTAGCTCCCCGGGTGTCGGCGGGCGGAGTGGGGGGAGAGGAGGAGAGCTGTCAAATCCCCACCCGGAATACCCGCAGCAGGCCGTGGGGCGGGGCCTAGGGGACTGTAGCAGCTCTGGGGACCGTAGCAGCTCTGGGGGCCTAGTGCTCACCCCTAACCGCTGCGGGTCGCCGCTCAGGGGAGTAGCTTGCACGGGTTCACAAAGAAAAGCGACCGCCCAGCATCCTCGCTTACTCGCGTAATCTCCCAAAGGAAGACCTTGGCAGAAAGATGCCTCTCCTCCAAGGTCTGCAAGCTACCAGCGTCGCAGTGGCGGTGGCTTGAACTTTACAGCTTCTCATAAACTGCAACTTTCCGGGTTGTTCCGGTTCCCCGGTCCAGAGACAGGCGGTCTGCGCTGAGTGATTCGCTCTGCAAGACTCCCCGCTCCTCCCTCGCGCCCCAGAGCGTGCCTGTGCTCGACTGGGCTAACTCCAGAAATTGCAGAATCAATATTATTTCAGCATCTTCCGGGAGAGGACGCACTGTAGAAAGTCACCGGCAGGAGTCCACGCGCGCTTGGGGGCCCTAGGTGCTTCAGCCCTTTAGAATTTAAGGGAAGTGCAAAATGAGTGATTCTCGAGTCCGCGTGCGCGGGCTCAGAGTCCTTGGTACTTCAGCCCTTTAGACTTTTAGGGCAACGCAAAATGAGTGACTCTCGGGAGCGCTCCTAAAAAGATGGTGTGGAAGGCGGTGTACCACAGGTCTGGAGACAGACTTCTTACTTGTTCTTTGTGTTGGGAGCTCAAATGAACTTAAGGAAGCTTGCACCATGTTTACCCTTTCTTTTTTCTTAAAGGAGTCTTGGATGACTTCCCGTTAGTTTTCGGGGGCCATTTGCAGCACAGACAGACTTTCCATGCTTGCTGCGGACAGCCTTCGAAGTTCTGGTTTAAAGAGCATTATGTAAGCCTCCTTATTTACATAAGAGCTTTGATTCAAACCGCCCAGAAAACCTTTTATCACCGAAGGAAAACCATCCCGCGGAGCAGTAACCGACCGAGTCTTTATGACACTTTGAAAAACAGCAGTAGCTCATTCTTTGGGAGAATAAAAAAGAATGTAACAAAAAAATTGGAATATTTTTCATATTTATTCGTCTTGGTTTTGTATCATTTGAACATTATTCCTAAGTTTAATTCAGGCAGTGGAGACTTTTAGAGTATATCCCCCCCCCCCGTGCGGTTAGCACCTAACTGGGCCATGGAGATGGTTTACTCCACTCCCACGCCATTAATTCCAAACATAAGGACAAACGTTAGCAAAATCAAGTAGACATTTTACTAAGGCCCAAACTTTAAAAATTATTCACCAATATAAGATACTGTAAGCAAAGGCAAGCAACAATGAAATACACAGAATGAAAAGTTTTAAATGTGTGTTTTTACTTCCATCATTTTACCTTCCCCACAGGTATATAGTTATTAATTTAAGTTATTAATTAAATTTAACCTTCCCTCTTTTTTTTCTTCCTTTCCTTGTTCATCTGCTTGCTAAACATTAGGGAAGATTTTTTGTTGCTGTATATTGTTCTAATTCCTACTTAAGAAAATAATGCCCAATGAGACAGAAATCTTAGTTATAATGAGTTCGAAATTAGGATAGTGTAAGAAAGGCCAACACCTGGGTCCTGTCCCAAGAGAGCTAGCTGGGGTATTGTTCTACCTCTCTAGTTACATTAGCTGTTGTCCCTTTCATGTCATCAAAAAGATCAACAAGTAGCCTACAGACTCAGTTGCTTAATTATTGACAATAAAAGATGGATATACTCCCAGTGAATTCTTCCAGACTGATACTCTTCCTAGTGTTGATTAACTAATATCCTCTCATCCCCCAGACCAGGACAGATGTCTGTACAGTCATGCCTTCAAAAACACACTTGTCTTGCTGGGAAATAGAGCTAGATTCTTGAGTCTCTTCTCAGAGAATATCCCTTCTGGGATGTACTAAGGAGATGATATGGGGGCTGTTGTTACCAAAAGAAGTTTGGAAGTAGAAAGGCTGTGTTTGAATGCTCTATCTCCTGCCACTTTCTCCTTACTCTTGCTTTTCATGTTGGACACATAAATAGCAGGTCTTCTTTCTGTGACAGTGTCAAGTATTTTAACACATTGTTTGGGGGTAACAGCTCACTTTTACCTTCCCTATCACTGACCTGATAAGGCAATCAATATAAAGGCATTCAAAGCTGAGAAATGCTAAAAAGGCATTGGCCTATTTTTCCAAAGAGTCTTCAAGGGTCCACATTAAGGCCCCAAACAACAATCTCTGTAGTGCAGTTGGAGCTTCAGACTGTAGTTGGCAGATGGAAAAGATATTTTAGGCAGAAGGAATTTGCAGCTTTCTTAAAATATAACCACATGGCCATGAGTCACCTTCTTTGTCCTCTCTTTTAAGACCAGCTCTCTACCTCTGTGAGCTACTAAGATGTGACATTTCTACTGCAAAAATAGTGTCATTGAATTGTTATTGATAACGGTGCAGTATTGGAAACATTTTCCTGGGATTGTTGGATTACTGATGAATTTATCTTAATTCTTCTAAGTATCATTTTCAATGCAACTGACCCTAGTCTAGGGAGAATGACTCATGATTTGCTAATGAAATTGTTGAGCCTTGCTATGATTGTTTCAGGGAAGGCAGTTGGCTTAAGTGAATCAATCAAGTCAAATAAGCATTAACCTTACAATGTTAGCCAAAAAAAAAAAAGAAGCTAAAATGAAAATAGTTTTATTCATCTTATACTAAGGTATGAACTTCTTCTTCTGGATGCTCTGGAGTGAGAGAATATGCTAGAACAAAACCAATTCAGAGAAATATAACAGCTAATTAAGACTTTGGATTCAATTGTGAGTAGTCTATTTGTGAACTCTTTGTATATAACATTTTTCTTTCTGTCTGTTAAACTTAGTCCCAGATGATTGAAATTAAAGTAGCTATGTCTCTTTTATATAAAAATTTAGCAGAGGTCCAGGGGACAAAGTAGTACAAAGAATGTTAGGACTAACTGAACAAAGCAATATACAAAAGAGGTGTAGAGATGAATTTGACTTGAAAAAAAATAGCTCAATAGCATGTTTCCATATCTCTCTGAGTTTTTATGCATTCATATCGCTACACTATGAGGGATGTTTGGAACTATTTTTTAGAAGATCCTACCATCTCCCTGAATTGGGAATTTTTTTTCTTTTTTTTTTATTGAGAAAAAAAATTTCCGCCTCCTCCCAGCCTTTCACTCCTCCCCCCTCTCCCACTCCTCTCCCTCTCCCCCCACTCCTCTCCCCCTCCCTCTCAAGTCTGAAGAGCAGTCCCTGCCCTGTGGAAAGTCCAAAGTCCTCCCCCCTCCGTCCTGGTCTAGGAAGGTGAACATCCAAACTGGCTAGGCTCCCACAAAGCCAGAACATGTAGTAGGATCAAAACCCAGTGCCATTGTCCTTGGCTTCTCATCAGCCCTCATTGTCCGCCATATTCAGAGAGTCCGGTTTTATCCCCTGCTTTTTCAGTTACAGTCCAGCTGGCCTTGGTGAGCTCCCAATAGATCAGCCCCACTGTTTCCGTTGGTGGGTGCACCCCTCTTGGTCCTAGGTACTACCAGTCCTTAAATTAAACAGCTAGAAGGAAAGAATAGAAAAGTAAATAATAAATCTTAAGAAAATATGTCTCTAGGGCTGACCACAACGCTATAGTTGATATTTGCTACCATTTCTACTACCCATTCTACATTCTTTTGTATTTCAGTTATTATTTTTACCTTTTACCTGGCCAAAGGTCTATACTTCATTTATGAGACATTTAAACCTCTCTTAAGGGAGCCACAGCATGACACCAGCAAGCAAAATGTGGCTACTTTTTGTTTTTTAGTGTCTAGAATTCCTTTTCAAGCCCTCTTAGGTTTTATGTGAATTGAGTACACCACGTTGGTGCTCATTTGTAGAAGGGAGGCTGCTTGTTGGTCTCCAGCTTCTTAGCCCCAAAATAATCACACAGAAACTGTATTAATTAAATCACTGCTTGGCCCATTAGGCTCTAGCTTCTTATTGGCAAACTCTTACATATTAATTTAACCCATTTCTATTAATCTGTATATCACCATGTGGCTGTGGCTTACTAGGTAAAGTTCCAGTGTCTGTCTCCAGTGGGGCTACATGGCTTCTCTCAGACTCTGCCTCCTTTCTCGCAGCATTCAGCTTTGTTTTCCCTGCCTAGCTCTGTTCCCCAATAGCTCTGCTATAGGCCCAAAGCAGTTCTTTTTTTAGCCAATGATATTCACAGCAGACAGAGGGGAATCCCACATCACCAAAAATAGGAGACTAATTAAATAAATACTTGGATTTGGGACAGAGACCTCTTTCATAATATGACCCAGATTGACAAAATGTTGACATGCTATGTGACCAACCATCCTTAGACTTTTAAAAAATATCCTCTCCAGAGACTTTACAGCATCTTCGTATGCAAAAAGCAGTTCAAATATGAATGCAAAGTTTCTATTTAAGTGATTCTATCTTATTCTTTATAGTTTTATTTTAGGAAGACTTTTGCCTGTGGAAAAACATCTCAGCTCATTATATAAAACAGTATACATAGGCAAAAAGCAAAATAACTTATCAACATTTTGTACTGATGTTTTATACATCAGTGAGGTTGTGCATGGAATGTCTAAATTGGAAAAGAAAAAAGAAGATATTTTTACGATGGTAATACAAGTTATCATAAAAATGTGGCTTTGGTATAAAACTTTAGATTTATCAAGATATAAGAAATAATGGAGTATTTTCTCCAAAATTGCCAAATACAAATTGACTGGACATTGTAAATGTAATTCTTATCTGATATTTGTTCTTATTATATATAGTTTTACTGTATCAGAATTAAACCCTTTTTTATTTAGACAACAGGGGAAATGTTGTAGAATATTTTTTTGCACTGTTAAGTTGTGTGTTTGTCAAGGGGCCTTGTGATTTGTTTAATAAAGAGCCAATAGCTAGGTAAGAGGAACTAAGGCTGGACTTCTGGGGACAGAGAGAGAACTCTAGGAAAAAACAAACAGAGATGCCAGGAGATGCAGAGAAAGTAGCCTGTACAGGAGGAGAGGTAACAGCCATGAGTCACACGACAGAATGTAGATGAATATAAATGGGTTAACTTAAGTTGTAAGAGTTAGTTAGGAACAAGCCTAAGTTATAAGCTGAGCTTTCATAATTTAAAAGGTCTTCAGGTCATTATTTGTGACTTGACAGCCCAAAGAAAAGTATTGCTACAACCAAGTCCTGGAAACATCACCCCATTCTAGTTCTGGTTAAAATGAGTTGGGAGCTGTAACTGACCCC